TTTTTTTGGTTTTTCGAGACAGGGTTTCTCTGTGGTTTTGGAGCCTGTCCTGGAACTAGCTCTTGTAGACCAGGCTGGTCTCGAACTCCCAGAGATCCGCCTGCCTCTGCCTTCCAAGTGCTGGGATTAAAGGCGTGCGCCACCACCGCCCGGCTCTATAGTTTTTATTTCTATAACCCAGTGTTGTCCAGAGTATGGAAAACTGCAGCCTTTCTAATGACACTAAATTTCCACCTTGCTTTGTATTTGGTGTTAGCTTTTCTCCTTGGGCACTGACTCAGACTTTGTTTGATTGCTACCTTAATTTCTTAGACCCGATTCGTCACCCTCACTCATTCTCTTAATAGCAGTAATTTATAAGAAGTGTCATTTAGAAATACTCTTAGTAATACTTATAATTCTAGGTTATGGCTCCGTGTCCGACCTCTAATGAACGGAGAAGCAGAGTATCATTCAGATGTTAGATTAGGAAGTCCTGATATGTTCCACTGTGCCTGCAGTAACCAGCAGAGAGATGGGAAGACAATGTTTCTAAAGGTCCAGGAGAGAGACAGGCAGACTGCTAACGAATGGGGTTTCCTTTGTGGAGCAAGGAGAGCATCATCAGAGGAGCTTCCTTAGGATCTCTGCGGCCGCCTCCTCCCTCCACGCAAGGTCCCCATCCTGTCACCACAGCTTTGCCTTCCTCTCTGTCACTTGAAGATCACCACGGATCAGGGTATGGTCTTTGGTGACCCGCTGCCTGGCACATGCAGTGCTTTGAAAGCACACACGGCATGTGTCGGTAGCTCAGAAATGACAGCAACAATGATCCCAAATGCACTGTGTAGTCCAGACTGGCTTCGAATTCACCATCCTCTGCTTCTATCCCCTGACTGCTGGGTTAGAGGCATCTGCCACTATGCCCAGCTAAGAACTGTGCATTTTAATTAGGTATATTTTATGGTATAGGAATATTATCTCAAATAAAAAACTGCTAAAAAAAACTTTGTATTTTTTTTATTTACTATTCTTGTGTGAGTGCACACGCACAGATATGCCATAGTATGTATACATGTCGGTTCAAGCACAGCCTGGG